ATATAACAGTAATATTAGTGTTGAAATAAAATTAAATGAGTTTTATTTCAAGCGCAAATTGTATAATTATTCCATTTAGAGTAATGAATGATAAAATTTGCATATTATTTGACAATAACTTTTCGTGAAAAACATTAAAAAGACAATCATTTTAGTAGAACTAGTCGTTAATTTATTCTATTTCCATTTAAAATGTTAATTATACGATCGATCGATTGATGGACATTATTGGGCGGTAAGGTGAAAAGGTCAACCTGGTGAAGTATTGTTGAAGAATTTGACAATAGTGCTTTTGAGAATAGTTTATAATCTATAAAATTGCTATAAAAATTTCTCGTTTGTCATATCAATTCGATGACATTTTTTTTCTTTTCTTTAATTTATATTTTACATATTTGTGATTTCCTTTTTTTTCATTTAAGAATTTTTTTAAATTTACAAAATTTCCTTGCAAATGAAAAGGGAAAAATATAAGTATTTATAATCAATGTATACGTAATATAATATGTGGCAGATGTGTATAAGTTATCATATAAGTTATTAGTATAAGTTATCATCCGTTACATAATTTCACGTAATCATGATTTTTGATGCTATTATTATCATTATTATCATTATTATTGCTATTATTATTACTATCAATGATAGTTATTTTCTCAGATTGTGCATTACAATGTACACCAGATATATGTGGTGATCATGGTGATTGTGAAATAATTAATGGGACACATATCGTATGCTCATGCCGTGATTATTATGATGGAATAAATTGTGAAATTTGTTAGTTTTTAATATATTAAAATTTAAATTTTTAATTTATTCCGATTAAATATTTCATAATAATTTCTGTTAAAAAATTTAATTAATTAATGTAAATAAAAGGAAGAAATAAAAATAAATTATTAATTTTACAGTTAAACCAATTGAACATGCGGCAAAATTTGATGGAAAAGCATTTATTGTATTTTCCATTGATGATTTTCCACATTTAACTTCGGAACATGAAGAAAATTTAAGTTTACGATTCAAAACATCCGCATCATCTGGGGTATCATTTAAATTTTATTTTAAAAGCTTTGAAATTATTTGATACTAATATTATTATTGCAAAATTATTGATTCAATTTTGGATTACTTTAATTAATTAAAAATCTTTATTAAAATTTATTCAACATATCGTTTGCAATTTGTTTAACAGTATTGAAAAAATTTCATATTATATGTATCCTACTTTTCTGAGTTATTTCTTGACCATTACCTTAAATTGATCGATTAATCCATTGTTTAACCTTGGGTAATCTCTCTTGACCATTCCTTTAAACTGATCAATCAATCCAATGTTTAATCCCTAGTAATCTCTTGGCCATTCTCTTAAATTGATCAGTGGAAGTGGAATGGACGAAAGGAAGAAGACAAAGGTCATTCAATTTCAAATCTAAATTATGTTTCAACGATTTATCATTGAATTGCCTACATGCATTATGATTATAATTTAAATTTTAATTGAATAAATAAAATAATGAGTAATTTTGCAGTTAATTTTTTGGCAAGGTCAATCATTCGATGTACCATTAAAGGGCGATGATTATATGTCGATTGGTTTAAGTGATGGTCATTTGGTCTTCTCGTAAGTTTAATTTCATTTAATTACTAAATTATCAACAATTTGATAATTAATTAAAGATGAACGAAAATTACACTTAAATGTTGATCTGACTAATAGTTGTTTAGTTTCCTCTGATAAGTTTAATCCTTTCTTTTTTTTTTAATATTAAAAGATTGAATTACTGATGACTTCTTTTATATGCTAATTAAAGATATGAGCTTGGTGGTGGTGCATCACAATTAATTAGTACTGAAGTGGTAAATGATGATAATGAGCATCAATTGCAAATTTGGCGCAAAGGTCGTGATGGAAAAATGATTATCGATGATGGTGCACCAATTACAGGCTCATCATTTGGCATTGTTGCTATGCTTAATGTTGATAGCGATATTTATATAGGTTAAATTTATGCAAAATTTAAATATGTTTAAAATTTCAAAGACTAAAATTTTTTCCTTAATTAAATTCTTGCCTTATTTGTTTTAAAAATTATTTGAAATATCTTTTTAGTTTAATTTTTTCATTATTGTTTTAAAAAATGATTGGAATTAATAATACTTAAAACATGAATATGATTAAGAATTGAAAATTTTAAGGTAAATAATTAATGATTTTATGAAGAAATAGATATTAAAATGTGGAAAAAACATGAAAAAGTTTTAAAAATAAGTTATAATTATT